TGTACACACCCATTCAATTTAGCTTCAAGAAGACAAAAGGTCACCTCGAGTCGCAGTGACACCGCCTTGGCAGGAGGAGAAATGGAGCTTGACGAGGAGGCGAAAGAGGATTTCGACGAGCATGGTTTATGTGGGGAGGATCTTGACGGTCAGATCGAAGCTGTGAATAGCAATATTATTGGCAGTAAGACGGCCACGATGTACTTGCGTGGCATGAGCCGCTATATAGCGTGGCTGTACACCAATAAACGCGATGTCTTGAGTGGAGAGCTGCTAAGTGCACTGCGGGATGATGCCCTCGAAGACGATGGAACAGGCTACTTGTCACTAAAAGTTAACGGAGTACTTCGCTTTATCCGTGAAAACGCAAAGGTCCCATTAATTCAGTTCGAACAACATCGAGCTACTGATTTTGAGGGGTTCTTGCTATCTTTAAAGTGTCGAAATGGAGGAAAACCTGGTATATCGGTGTACAACTCGTTACGATCAGCACTGTTTCATTTGTATCGTGGGTACGGGCGCTCAATGGATGTGGACTTTGCAGCAGATGTGACGTTGTTTTTTAAGGGTTTAAAAAGGGAGACAGCTAAACGGAACCATGATTCTGGTGAAAAACTGACTGAAGGAAAAGATCCTCTACCTTTTTCTATGCTTCGTTCGTTGAGTGTGTCAATGATGGAGTACGAAAGTGACGAATTCGTTTTTACGCATTTCTTTTTGGTTATTACCTGGAAACTAATGTGTAGGGCTGGTAACACAGCATCCATTCACGCTGGACATTTGAGTTGGGAAGGAGATGCTTTAGCCGTTCGGTTTGGACACATGAAAAATGACCAGGATGGAACACGTCCTCGAGACGCCCGACACGTGTACGTCAATTCGTTTAATCCGGAGATATGTCCTATTCTCTCACTAGGTATTTACGCCGCCGTTTGCGGCTTGGATGACTCGAAGTTGTTTCCAGGTGGAAACCAGTACGACCGGTTTTCTAAAATATTAAAGAGACTCTTGACGGAGCCCACGTTGTCGAATTTACTGGATACAGAAGGTTTATCGCCTGCAGATACTGTTACCCAATTTATCCGAAAGGGATCTGCAACGTATGTGTCTTCTTGCTCTAACGGCGGTCCATCCGCCGCAGCAATATGCATTAGAGCAGGGTGGACCTTTCCGGGTGTCCAAGACATCTACATTCGCTACGATTCCACTGGTGATATGATTGTCGGGCGATATGTATCAGGATTGCCGTTTGAAAAACCAGGTTTTGCGGTTTTACCACCTTTTTTTTTTTTTTTTGCGGATATAGACGATTTCATCCGCAGAGCTATCGATCTTTGCTTTTCAAATCTCCCTTCTCGATAAATTCGTACTGGAAGTTTTCTCTTAGCTTCTTTAGTGTATCATCACGACTTTTTGATAAGGACTCTAAATAGTAATTATCTCCTACGACGCAATGCACTTCTTGGAAATGTGGGT